TGTTTACATTCCTCATCCAAACAAATTATTATTCGTCTCTGAAACGATTATCAAATCACAACAAGGTTAGCAGATCCTCTGGTTTCTATTCCAGCCCTTCATACTTCCTCCACTGACCCTAGTCAGTTTTGGTGATGTTTACACTCTGAAAATTACAAATAGCCTGCCTACACAGCAACCAGAGACTTTTTACAGTTTTTAGACTCTTTTTGTTTAAATTCAACATAATGATTTCTTAGCCATTTCTGAGCCTCACCAATATTATAACAGGAACAGATCTCTCAGCTCTGATTCAACAGTTTATTTCAACCAGTTAATACTGCTACACTTTTGTGTGAATCAGAGATATACAAACATTTCATCAGTATCTAAAGAACTGTAAAACCTGCAACACCCATAATGGTGACGCATAAACAAACACGTATTATGCAGGCTCCTGAAACAAATAGTATGTACATTATTAATTGACCTGCAGTATAGTTTCTTTACCTCTATCAGCCTCCCCACCGTAGCCCAGTACAATTCTCATTTTCTCTCTTTATCTAAACTGATTACAGAGTGAGTATCTTTCACATCTCCTCAAAAGAGCATATCATCACAGGTTGTCATTTTGAACTCTTAAGTGGAACTTAAGGAATGGTTTGAGGTTGTATTTGTCCGAATACATCAAATTTTTTCAAAATCCCCACACTTCCACATTGCATACAACATTAAAATGCGTCTTAACTAACTTGATCACAAAACATCTTTGTCTAATAAATAACCAGGTAAAGTCAAAAATTTCTACATTTACAGCAAATGACAAACACTGCCACAGAGGCCTGTTTATGCAGCTCTTCAATAGCAATTCTGAAATGGAACCCATTAAATGAATTTCATTATATGACACCGAGATAATTTTAAATGCGGTGAAAACAAGCTCTAGATTTTTGTCCAGGCGCCATACAAACTTTCATTTGCTTAATATAGTGTTTCTACAAACAAAAACTTGTGACTGTGAGTTGTATTACTATTTTAACCTTTAATTTCCAGTTTTTACATTTTATGGTCTTTGGGTGTTTCTGTAACACCTTCTTTGTGTTCTAGACATTAATAATTGTATCAGTTCCAACATAAAGTTCCAGTAGCAGAGTTTGGGATGTGACTATCTATTACCAAGTGCCAACCAACAGTTAAACCAAAACTTAACCCTAAAGAACTAAGATTTTAATACATAAATAAATATGCCATTATTTGATTTCGTGTAATTATTCATTACCTACATTTCAAGTGATTATCACCTGCTTTTTAAACATAGATGTAGGGGCACAGCAAACTGTAGGGCGCATGTGCTTTTAATACACTCGTTCTAGACTCCTGCTGCTCTCCTGATCTTTAGCCTTTGAGAATAACCTTCATTTGCTCTGTTCATGGAGGGTATTTAAGACACTAGTGGTCAAAAGATGTAGTCCATTATTAAAAAAAAAATATTCTTTGATACATCCCAGTCAGAGACAATTCTTTTAAAAAATTGGAAGTTAAGTTTGTACCTTAAGCCACATCCAGTTCAGCATCTTTGAATAGAGCTCTTGGGTTTTTAGGACCATAATACTCATTCAAAAACTTCTCCACTACAACTTTCTTTCTATAGGCCTTCTGTGCTTCATATAAACTCCTTATATACTCTGAAACTTTTAGTCCTTACACATTCAGCCCGGACCATATTTCTTTATATGTTATGTGTTTTTCTTAAACTTCTCCTTTCTCTGTATTCCTTGTTAACCCACTCTGCTTTTTTATGTGACGTCAAACTTTTTCTCTGCATTGTCATCTTTCTTTCGGAGGAAATGTAATCTTTCCTTCGCATCCATCGATCATGAATACCGCAAACTGCTTCATTTTTTTCCATTCCCACGAGACGAGCAGGACTAATTCCTCGTATTCATCTAAATGGTGTTTATCATTCATAAAGCGCTCAACCCTTCTTTCCAAAGTCCACAGTTTTTTAGTACACAGATTTCCATTTGTGTTCGACAGGACTGTTATCCCTGCAGCAGAACAGGCCAGAGGAATAGCTTCCTGGTAGTAGGCTGAAGGTTTTGTTGCTGTGACACAGCAGCAGCCCATAAACCGTGTAATGTGTATTTGCCAAGATATCCACTTAATGTGCTATCTCAGACTGCTGAATCTAGCTTCGAACGTTACTTTAAAACTGGGCAGCATTAAACAATGAAAACAAAAATTGGAAAATGTTCCAACTTAACAAAAATAAATAAATAGTACTGATCCTCTGTGTCTACTTGCACCTGGGTGAAATTTTAGTCAGACGGCATCTATTCAGCGGCGCGATTTACCTCAATATGAGAGCCCAGGGGCTCCCCAGAGATGCCTCTGTTTTCTTTTACGCAAATTGTTGCAATGCCACCATTTAAGTGCCAAGTGGCGTAGAACCGGGGTTAGTGCTCTAAACGTCAAGAGAGCGAGGTTGTGGTGAGGGTTGCACAAGAAACATGACTTTCCCCCAGGAGATTGGGTTTACCCTTGTGTATTGTGTTTTAGTTATTTTAAGAACTCAAATTGATTATTCCAAGTTTTTTTTTTTATGTGTTAATTGATTATTATATTTCACTTTTCAAATCATTAGTTTTGTAATAAAGGTTTAAGCCAGCAAAAACTTGGGTTTAGGAAAAAGAATCAAGGTTAGGTTATTAGTCTTCTCTGCCAGAACTTCACCCATGTGACTCACTGAAGATCTCCAAAGTGGCACCACTGTTCAAAAGGCTGGGATCATTAGCCACATTGTCTATCCACCACCAGAATGCAAATTAGATTATTTCAATTTTTTATTTCATTTCTTGATTTTGACCTTAAGCTGTAAAAAAGACTTTCTAAGGACCAGAATCAGAGCAGCCAGAATAATAATATCATAGCCATCATTCCCATGTAACTGATACATTAGAAAAAAGGGTTAGAAAAAAAAATCTGTTAAATCAAACTGTGTTACTTTCTAGTGGACTGAGTGTAATGAGAAATTAAACTTCACAAAAGATCCTTAGGTAGGTGCAATTATAACAACCTCAAATCGTGGCCATCGAATATGCCTAATTATGCTCATAAATGTGCGAATCTCAAAACAATAAACTAGAATTATAGCCTCGCAGTTCTGTGCCTCACCGCCCCAGTTGCAGGGAATATGGTCAATCAATCTTCCCACTCGGCTGAAGCTCTGATACATCTGAATGATGGCCAGAAGTGTTATGCAGAACATTTGTGATGTCACACGTGAAGTTGCCTAAAGCATGTTGGGCATATAACACTTGGCACAATCACTTTTCTTAATCTCTTATCCTTACTAGAACATTTGAGTTAAATCTGTTGTCATAATTAATTGAATGAATTTTTGATAGTAATAACAAAAGGCTAAAAACTGTGTTTTGGTATGGTCACAGTAACCTTGACCACCAAAAGGGATGAGTGTTGAGTCAAACACATGAAATGTTTAAGTGAAATCTTGAAGAAACTTCCAGCTCAAGGCATTAATGAGATATTTGTTCAAGAGAAATATTATAACATTTAATGCCTCCAGCCTTGCCTGTCATCCTGCATGGAAGGCGCATAAAAAAGTAAAAAACCGGCAGAACAAGCTCTCTAACAGTTCACTTCGTTGAACTCCCAGAACCACTGTGGGGTCGTTCAGAGCACGCCAAGCTCAAATAAACACGAGAGGACCAAAAATGCCCCACTTCTAAAGCTCGAAAGCTGATTGCGTCAAGTGCGTCTTATGAAAATGGTTACAAATGGCGGCGTTCTGTAATGTAGCCTGAAACAAACATGGAAATGACTGCCAGGCTGTGGACCTGGATTCAAGCTTGCGTTGACCATTTTTAATTGGCGTCTGATTTCAAATTGATGAATTTGAAAAAGTCAAAGTGAGCATTATCAGGCAGGGAAAGAAGGTAAGGGCGACTGCCAGCAGCCAGTCCACATCCGCCTCCACATGCTAATAACTTCAAGAAACTCTTCTATGAGGGATAGGTGCGGCTCCTGTTTTGAACAATGATGCATTAAATGTTGCACGCCACTTCTGGGAAATTTCTCTTTTTTCATTTGGCTTCCTCCTAGCAGGAAAGGTCAGAGGGCAGGAAAACAGCAAACCAGAACAGATATCCTGCCTGAAGAGACGACTTTTAGCGCTGCTTTACCTTTTAGATTCCCTGCGTCCTGACACACAGGGCTTGAAACATAAAAAGGCTGTTGGCTAATGTCTGTAGGTGTCTCCACGACACCAGTAAGGGACTGCGGCCCACAAAACAAGCTTGCCCAGAATAAATCTGATTAGATGGGACAAGGAGAGAAAAAAAAAACATGTCTGCAGTACAAATATGTTATGGATTTTTCTTCTTATCTTATCACTTTTGATGCAGTAGTGTAGGCGCATTATAATCTTTACATTAATCTACCTTCATGATTTTACTAACTGACTGAATATTTTTGCTAACCAACAGATGCACCTCGTCCCACACGGCACGCATGCCCCTTATCAGGAAAAAAATATCTACATGTCACATTATTCCTTGGTTTTGATCCCCGGGGTACTTGACTAGAATTGATCAGGGTTCTCAAAACACGCTCGAATAAAGTTATGATCCAGGTTTTTCAGGAACCCCAGCAGATATGATGTCAACCTCAGCACCAGACATAACCTGGGATATCCAACACAACCTCACTTTAACGGGGACCCTCCTGTGCACTGACACTATCAATCCAAATAGTTTCAAAGGAAGAGACAAAGATATACAATATAAATATATATTATACATAATATAATATAGAAGATAGAGATAATATAGAATATATAACAATAAGACACAGGAACATAGTGAGCCAAGACAACCACCTGACCTATACATGATACATAGCTGTGAATGATAAGTAGACCAGTAGATAGTGCTAGACTGTTAGTATAAAAGAGATAAAGATAATTATGATAGTGGTGATGATAGTAGTGATAATGATGATAGTGAAGAAGTGTGTGTAGTGTAGTAGGTGTGTGTGTGTTGTGTGTTTGTGTGTGTCGTGTTGTTGTGTGTGTGTAGTGTGATATCTGCCGGGTGTTCATGTAGATACAATTAAATCTCCCTCAAGAGCGGTAATTAAATAACTATACAGTCTTTAAATCCTCATAGAGTGATAAGAAAGAGCCGGAGTACAACCACACACGAAAAAGAAAAGAAATATAACACAACCACAACATATCAAGAGAGCATCTACGAGATACCACACTTAGAAGGAAACGTCAAAGTATGTTTCCTTCCTATTCAACCAGTTTGATCTAAAACGGACAATACGAAGGTGGTCTTAGTTTTACATGCAAGCACGATTTACAAAATTGCAGATTGAGCGCAGCTCATGGACTGAGCAGGTAAATCATAGCTAACCAGCCAGCGCACTGTCTGCGATATTTGACTGTCTTTCCGTGGACTCGTGGAACAACCAAACAATTTATCACACAGGGGAAGACACTCTGACTTAAAACGCGATTCCCACCTACAGTGGGCCTGGGCCCGGGTCTTGTCTGCAGTTTCTGCTCCTCAGCTAAGACGAGGACCTCTGTCTGCTTCACCGCTTGGGCTCAGAGTAAAAGTAACAGTTTTCTCCCTTGTTCCACTGACCTGCTGACCTAAGCTACCGGCAAATTCTACAAAACTAAGTGTTGTCTCTCCATCATGGCCGTTAGTTTGCTCTGTCCCACAGCTGTTGCTTGACGCTCAGAATCAGAGGATCTCCAATCCAGCAAGCACGAAGAGAGCTCTATACATGGACTCGTATGTCTTACAGCCTAGTGAAATATTATAAATATTTAATATTATATATAATAATTTTATTTAATTTTTCGTTTGTTTTAAATACATGTTTTCATGTGTTTAATCCACAGACTTAACATTATACTTTCGATTTTATTCATTAATTCAGCGAATTCTTGTCATATTATCGTTAATTACGCTAACCAAGAGATGGTTGATGACCTTAACATATCCATGTCTAGCTTGAACCTCTTTGACTTCAATGTGATTTTCATCAAAAACCATTTAGACTCTTCATCCTAATCTAACTTCAAGATAGTTACACAAACATCCTCAATCCTGCCTTAACACCAGGGACGATACACTGGATTACTGTTCCGCTCTCTCTCGTTGCGATTATCATCTGTTTCCACAAAAGCCAGTGATCCTCGTATAATCGTTCATCCCATCCTGAACCCCTTAAAACCCCACCAACACTGAATTCACTCCCCATCCCTGAATTACTCTCTGTACCTTGTTTCTGCTGAAGCTTTTTGTGCAATTAAAACACTTTTTTTTTTAACTAAAACATTCAGGACTTCATGTAGAGAGTTGAAAACTACTTTTAGTTCTAATATCTCCTGTCATACTACAAAAAGTCTTCTTCACTTACACTGTTATACGTGAAGAAATAAAGCCTTTGAAAAAAAGAGCAACACATGCAGAAGGCAGAAAGGAAATGGAAGAAAGGATAAACATACTCGAGTTCCCTTAGCCTACTCCTCTTAAACATCTTGATGTACTCTTATTTTCTTGCACAGAGACAATGATACGCCGTTAAAAAAAGGGCCACATAATCCCCAATCCTCTTTTAAAACCAACTTAACGTTATGTTTATTAGTTTTCCTTTTTGTATTTGATTGAAAGGCGCCAGACAGGCTTGTATCTGCTCTAAAATCCCTGTTGTTTTTATTATCTTAACTCTGTTGTTTCAATTCAGAGGAAAGTGGCAGATAAAACTGAGATATAAATAAATGGTGTCCGTGTGCTTGTTTCAGAGTCTCAGTTGGAGCAGCTTAGGGAGAGGATTCAGCAGAGCATGAACACGCTGCCCAGACAGAAGCCCTACACCTGGAAGTCGGTCCTGGGCTGTGCTGTTATTGGCCCTGATATGTTGTGGTACCGAGGACAGCTGCTGGAGGTGCTGGGAGGACACGTTAAGGTCTGGAAAAACACACACACACACAAAAAACCCTTTTCTTGTTATGTTCACAAACTTTTTAAAGTACCAATCAACTGGTGGCACGGCTAAGAGATGATGTTACGCAGCGCAGTATGTGCTAAACTGCATAGGAAACTAATTAAAAGCTTTAATGTGTCTTTATCGGTAATGATAATATGTCGGTGTTACCAGGTACAATATGTGGACTATGGCCTGGTGGAGAACATCCCTGTGGTCCACGTGCACCCCATGCTGCTGTGTGACGATGTTCCTCAGCTCTGTATGCCCTGCCAGCTGCACGGCCTCAACCCTGTAAGTGTGTGTGTGTGTGTGTGTGTTAACATGTTCACCTCATCTGTTCTTTCTTTCTTCATCGTCCTCTCTGCCTCCTCAGGTTGGCGGGAGGTGGCAGCGGGATGCGGTGGCCTTGCTGAGGGAGGTGTTGCTGAACCGCTGTGTGGACATGCGAGTCGTGGTAAAGTTACAGTCAATACCTAAAGAATTAATGTCTTACACAGTAACTACTGTCAATATAGGAATGTTGGCTTTAATCATATTGTCCATGGTCACCTACTGCTTTAGAGCTGCAACCTTTAGACAGTAAAAAGGAAAATTAATCAGTGTCTATTTTGATGATTGATAATATTATAATATATAATTGATAATTGTCTAAATTTTAAATAATATAACATTTGCTGCTTTTCTTTTTGGCTTTGACAGTGTCAGTCGATCAAAACAATCATTTTGAAGATGCAACCTTAGTTAGTTACAAGACAAAGGGTTTTAGTAGTACTCGACTAGTAATGTAGTGTGTGTGTGTGTGTGTGTGTGTTAGGAACTTCCAACTGACCCGAGGGAACCCCTCACAGTTGAGCTCTTTCTGGACGGGCTGAGCCTCAGCAGGATCCTGTGTCACCATGAACACGCCTCCATGGACCGGACTGTCTCAGCACAGAAGGTGTGTGTGTGTGTGTATTTGTGTTCATTGTTCATGTTGTTTTATGTTTCTCAAGATGAAGCAGTGCTGCCAAAATTTACACAGGAACATCCGTGTTTCTCTGCAGGGACACTCGGTGACGCCTCCTGCCTCCCTTCTGGATGATTGGGACATCGACACCGAGGTACTGTAGTTAGAATAAAGACAAATGTATTTTAGTAACGGCCACATCTACAACAAATGTGTAAAGCTTTAGACTGATGCAGATCCTGTGTTTCCAGGGTCTGAGGGGCCCAGAGGAGCCACCGCTGGGGCCCTTTATTTACCCAAACCTGCCACAGGAGGGTGAGAAGTTTCAAGTCCGGGTCAAGCACCTGTGGACCCCCAATGAGGTAACTGCTTTTAACGGAGATATAACTGTTTTAAAAACATGCATCACATTATTTTACCGATTAAAAAAAAATCAGGTAAGTGCTGATGACAGGTTTTGAGGTGAACTTGATCCTTCAAAATAAAACTGAGTCAGTTTAGTAAAGGATAGATGTAGTGTCCAAATAAGATCCAGATACACTGTGTAATCTTGTTTTAGGCTGTAACTGTAGTTCCTTTGAGGCTGCCACGATCATTTTGGACTCATTAACTCTTAATAGATTAAGCTAAACTCTCTAACTGTTGATGAGAGGTTAATCTTTCGTATCTCTGTGCTGCAGCTGTTCCTGTGGCCTTTGGAGGGAACAGCAGACTTGGAGGTGGATGGAGAGAGACTGGACGACGCTCTGACCAGAATCAATGCAAACATCAACAGTCTGCAACGACTCTCCAGCTTCCCTCACGGTAACATTTCACTGTGGTTACAGCCGGTTTGTTTCCAGGCAGGAGGGAGCTTTTCAAAAAGATTTTACAACTTGGTTAGCATCATACAACTTTAGCTCATTTTTTTACATTTAAGAACAAGTGGTATATTTGTGGATTGGAGTCAGCTCTGTGGCTTTTCATTAAATATTGCAGTGGCTTTGCACCTCAAAGTGACGTTAATGAAATGAAGCTTCTTTCACTGCAGTTATTTTAACACTAGGACATGTACTAATGTGCATAAAAGAAATCAGAAAGTTCAGTAAATCATTAACAAACACAAACAATATGTAATTAGAGTATATGATGAGGATTTTTCTGCATCACAGTTTCCCCACAGTCACATATCGAAACATCTGTCATGAAGAGAAATCCTGAAGAAGAGGAAGGTTTTGTTCTTAAGTACATGAATAAATCTCAAACCTTTTGCAGCTGATGTGACTGTTTGCAAGACGACAGCAGATAATCGCTGCGTCGCAAATGTTTCTGCGTAGAGTTCAGTAAGTTGCACAGACGTGACTTTCTGCTCGCGCTCTCCAGGCGGTCCGTGTCTGGCAGAGTACAGTGACGGGAAGTACTACAGGGCCAAGCTGATGAAGTTCACCAGCGTGGAGCCCGTCATGATCCTGGTCCAACATGTGGACTTCGGCTCTGACGACACTCTGCCCATCAGCAAGTAAGAGATGAGAACACAGCATCGTATTTATTAAGTATGGAAAACCTTAAATTATAAAGCAGTGGTGATGTGCAGATAACAAGATTAAAACGTACAGGTGCTTAACTGTATGTGGTCATTAGGAGCTTCTTCAGGTCAGNCGTGGACTTCGGCTCTGATGACACTCTGCCCATCAGCAAGTAAGAGATGAGAACACAGTAATAAAGCAGTGGTGATGTGCAGATAACAAGATTAAAACGTACAGGTGCTTAACTGTATGTGGTCATTCTTCCTGATACTCCTGTCTCTCCGTGTCAGGCTGCGTCAGATNAGGAGCTTCTTCAGGTCAGTGCACAGATTCTTAAATGACTTGTATAAAGGTTTTTAAAGAATTTCTTTTAATTTTCTATGTAGCTATAAAAGTTAACTGCACCATTAAAGCCCCTTGAATGTGGCTGATCTACAGCTGACATGTTGTCCTGATACTCCTGTCTCTCCGTGTCAGGCTGCGTCAGATGCCGGCCGAGCTGCTCAGGTTTCCGTCGCGGGCGCTAAAGGTCAAAGTCGCCGGCTTCAAGGCTCCAAGTGTGGAGAGGCAGGAAGACGTGCTGCCCTACAGCCCCGGGTGGAGCGTGAAGGCTGCGATGGAAATGATCGAACTGTTACACAGCAACATCACAGCCTCTGTTGTGGTAAGAAACGCACAATGTGAAAGTAAAGAGCCGTCATTATCTTTCACTGATTGTCATGTCCATAAACCGATACCAATTATTTAGCCACATGATACGATCAGGATTTTCAGTCTTGATGATTTTAGGGGCGAACTTTTAACTTTATAAGCTACAGATTCAGCTCTGTATCAATTCTCATAGTTATCTGTAAAACTCCATCGTTCTCTCCGTCGTCTCTCATTTATATATAAACTTAGTGAGATTCGATTCGAAAGGATTTGGGTTTGTTACGTTGATTTGGTGAAATTCCATCAAACCTCATCCCTGCAAGACTGAACTTCTGAGTCTAACTCTTTACAATTCCAGAGCTTCAGCACACAACCACAAGGTGCTGGGTGCAAAAAGTAGTAAAATAAAAGTAACTGAAGCACCTGAAAACTCACAAGTCTCACAACTCTTTTGGTCTCTGAAAAGTTTCTCAGGGCGCGAGACGTGACTTCTTCTCAAGTCAGTATCTTAACTACATCCGTGCGTCGTCCTTGTCTCTTCAGGCCCGGGAACCAGAGCTCACAGTGCTGCTGTACAACGAGGACGAAGAGCTGGTCCATCTTCCTCTGGTGAGCAGCGGACTGGCCGAGCTCGAGTGACGCAGAGCGGAGACGAACTCCGCAGCCCACAGGTTCATGTGAGTTTTCAGCTTCATTTCAAACAGGTTACAGTTAGTTTCTCCATTGTGAAGATTTACTGCTGGTTTATAACCCAACATTTGGGTTGTTTGATGTTTGTGGAAAACATGAAATTATAATCGACATTAATCACTATTTTCTGGCATTTTATCCCCAAATCAATTACGTTGGTCCAAGATGGATCAGATACTAAATGTTTCACTGTCTTGACAATATTTGAGCTGCTGTTAATTTCCTCTTTGTTTCTGTCCCCAGGTTTACTCTCCGCCCTCCTGGTTTGTAATCGTCTTAATTTCTTGCTGTTCTTAGTTTTTACACGTTGCAGAAAGTGTGCGCTCGTCTTTACTTTCAGTGTTGTTGTTGAGCAGTGATTTTATTTTAAGTTTGCTTGACGGTTGTGTTTGTGTGAGCTGGGTCTACGAGGCACTTTGATTTCCAGTCAGATGAGACTTGTCTGTGTGGAACAGATTAAAGTCTGATGCCATCTAACCTTCTGCAGCGTTTTCTTTGTGAAGCTCTTCTCAGCTAGACGTCCAGACCGGAAGAGTCCTGATACAGAGTTACATCTCGACAACACTTAACAAAGAAGATAAAATTTATTTTACAAAAAATATACAGTCAGCTAAGGAAATAAATATGTATTTAACATTTTTACAAATTAAAATTAATGCAAACAAACACTTCACACACCACACTAAAAGCAGTCTGTTTCAGTCTAATGCACACGTGACATTTTGTTTCTGTTCAGCATTTCATTATTCTCAAGCCTTTACTGGAAGTGTAAACAATGAGTCGATGCAAGTATCTCTCAGTCTGTTTAAATATTCACAGCTGTGGATGAAGTTTGGTGGTAGATCATAAGCAAAAATGATCCTTATACAAACCAAACATTGTCTCTCGTGACTAAAGATGCGATTTCATTGTAAAAATTCAGGTAACGTTTTAGACGAAAAACATTAAAGGTGACCTCTGGAGTTTTCTTCTTCTTCTTCTTCTTCTTCTGTGTATCTTTGAGATCTAACAAATGTGGTGAATGTATTTCCTAATAAAACATTTGCAAAACCTTTCTGGTGGTAATGAGCAAAGAAATGTGCCGACAAAGACGGTGAGTAAGAGCATGAAAAAACATGCAAACAATGCAGCGTTTTAAATAAAAATCAATCCTAATTCAATTCTGCTAATGTGTTATGAAGAGGGAAATGCATTCAACACATTTGTTAGACCTCAGTGATGAACGATGCGACATGCAGACACATGTAGTGAAGGTGGGGCACATGAGATTTGCCCATTTGGGGAAACGAGCGTGATTTAAAAACAAACAAAACCCACTGCTGCTTCTCTGGAGTGTTGGACTGTGATAACAGGCATCAACCCGTATGTGTGCTGCCATAAAATGAGGAGGAGGCTCAACTTCCTCCCTTTAAAATTGAATTAAAAAATTATTAAAATATTAAAAAGAGACTTCCTCAAACTCATCGGCTTTGAGTTTCACCTTTTGGCAGCATGTTGAAGCATTAAAAAGGAAGATTTTGGGGGAAATACACTCATTTCCTTTCTTGCCAAGAGTTCGATGAGAAGACTGACACCACTCTCGTGTCTGTCTGTTACTGTGAAGCTGCAGCCGGCGGCTTTTCCTTCATGAAGTGAGCTGAGCTTAGAAGAACTCTAAATCCAAACCGGCTGACCTCTGACCTCCCTGTGGAGAGAGGAGAGCAAGAAAGTGATTCATATGTTTAGTTTACGCCCTGTGGTCCAGGACGACGTTGCCGTCTTTGTCTTTGATCCTGAGCCGTCCGGTGGGGTAGCGGGTTTCCTGCCTGCCGTCGGCGTAGACCGTCTTCACGGTGCCGTCTGGATACTCCCTCTTCTTGTAGTCAGCGGTGTGGATCTCCTTCTGGCCCGTGTTGAAATGGATCTCCTTGGTGCCGTCCCTGAGAGAAACAGCACACATTTTACACCCTGTGAGTCTTCGTTTAAAGACTTTAAAAACAAACGTATCATCAGCCTGAATCAGAAACTGGAGCTCAAGCAGAGATCAGCACATCCCTATGGAAATGACTCGTACTCCAATCCTTTACAGAGCCGCAATTACTTAACGATTAGTCGATCCAACTGTTTCGATAGGCGAATAAATGTTTTAGAAATACCTTCTCCAGTGTGCACGTTCAGTGTCTTTCTCTTGTTTGACGATGTTACCATTTAGTTCAACCAGAACTTGTAACACCGGAACCATTGAGAGAAGCTGGAGCTGTGGTTTTACTTACGGGTTGACCTGTATGATGGTCCCGTCTGTCAGCACGCTCTCCTCTCTGCCGTTTGGGAACAGGTTCTTGACCGTCTGGTCTGGGAAGGTGATTTCTTTACGACCGTCCGGGAAATGCTTTTCTGGAGTAGGAAAAAAAATAAAAAACAATGTTTAAAGAACATTGTTCAACTGATTCTCTACTGAGCAGCTTTTGTCTGGTGGTAATTTTACAGCTTGATTACAAAACAAACATCTGTTCTCACCAGTCTGGTTGTTGGGGAAGTGCAGGACCTCCATGCCATCTGGGTAGGTGATGTGTGTGGTCTGGGCGTCAGAGTAGTAGTAGATCTGAGCACAAGGAGCAGAGCTGTGGTCAGAGACTTGGCAGGGGATTCATTGCTGACGGCAGAGCAGACTCATCAAGTTTTCCACTGTGAGTTCTCAAAGGAAAATCGATTCTCTTCACATCACTCTTTGAACTTTGAGGTTAAAAACATCAAATTTCACATTGATTTTTAACTCTTACATTAGATAAACTCAAAGTAAGTTAAACTGATTGTCCACATTAACAAAGGCTCAAAGGTGGATGGTCAGTTTAGTTCAGAATATGTAAAAAATATGTGAAATACAGCCTATGTATGTAAGACAATCTGATCCCCTTTCCAAGACTTAAGGTATCTGCTGTCCATCACTATGTATAATTGATTTTAATAAGGTGACATCACTTACTACACAAGAACAGATTTACTGTCTTGCTAAAAAGAAAACAAGATATTTTTAACTAAACTGGTAAGAAAAATGACTAATGATTTGATTCAGTTTTCTAACCCAGTTTGGTGCAGGAGACAAAAGGCAAAGACCTTGTACGTTGAATTGTTGCCTCGTACATTTAAAACGTTCCCTGACTTACTGTAGCGCTCAACACGCTCTCAGTTATTTGTTTAGAAAGACCTGTGGAGGTTGGATGCAGTTATTTTAAGTCTGCGTCATGTCAGGTAGAAGCCTCACCACTCTCTGGTCGGCTGTGACCTGCTTGGTGTCTCCGTTGAAGAAGGTGACCTTGACCGTCAGTCCGTCGGCTGAAACCTCCTTCCTGGTCCCGTTGGGGAAGACGATGAGGCGATCGCCACCAGCCAGAACCTTCTCTACCTGCAAGGGTCAGAACCAGAACTCACTGCAAGACAGTTTCTGCAACGTTAACGTCAAACTACTGGAACAGCTGGGCCAGTTCCTGTGTTTTTGTTTTTTGTTGTTCACTGAAGACATATGGGTTTAAGATCAAAAGATGAATATGAGACAAGAGTTCAGCACTTCAGCTTTCATTTCCTGGTATTTACATCTAGATGTGTCTTAGCAGTTTTTCTCAGTGGAGTCTCGGGGTGTTGAAAACGTCTCCAGTGGTTCCCGTCAAGTCACTTAGTTTTCAGGATTTCATATTCTGGCGATGTACAATATGACACATCTTTCCACTTTCTCACCTTCCCGTCAGAGTGTGTTATAACCTCCTGAGCTGACTCTGCCTCCTCAGCCTCACGGCACTCTGCTTCTGTTGGCAGAGAATCTCTTTTCTACAAAGAGAAGATGTCAAAAAAATAACAAATTATTCAACATGGGCTCCTGAAACTTTTGTCGCTTGTTTTCCATCATATGAGCTTTTGGTATCTGTCAGTGAAGGTGTTGTTTGTATAGATTTGTTAAAGCAGAAAAGAGAGAACAGCACTAACGGTGTCTCTTACTGGAGAGCTGCTGTTTGATTGTTCTTGGTTTGGCGGTTTGTCCTGGCTCTTGTTGGCAGGTGGTGACCTCTCCTCTGTCATCCTGCCAGGCAATGAGGAGGATGAGGAAGCGGCGCCTGGCCCTGCTGGCCGCCTCAGGCTGCTCTTCATCCCTACTGACATAAAACAACCAACACAAAACAAAAGGAGAATAAAAGAATATAACGCTTTAGAGAGTTGAGAGTAACTTGGGTGACACATTTCTATCGGTTCCTTTCACAAATAGTCACGTGATCCATTGTTAATATAAAAATATTAATTATAGCTGTTAATCCAACCAAATGTAAGTCTGATTATGTATCTAGGGGAACAAAGAAGTTAAAATCTGCAAAAGACCGTAACTCTAAAACTCCTGAGCAGGAAATCCCCCTTTAAATGGAAACTCCTGTACCTGCAGCGCCCTGGCTCGTCTCCCCGGAGCCCCGTCGACCCGCTGCAGCAGTGCCGCTGTGTGGAGGACTGCTGCTGCTTCCTCGAGAGTCAAGAGGACTCTGAAAATAAAGAGAGAGAACTTGTGATTTCAGTGTAATGCTAAGACGAGAAAACACACTGAAGAGATCATCAGAGCACCTGCAGTACACAGGTGTGGAAAGAGAAATGGAATTTGGCCAATGAACCTGGTTTGTCTGGTTGTTAAATGTCACTTTATGTGTGAAAAATGTGTCATGGACCCCCCAGTTCTAATCACACTGATATAAAATATTTAATTCAGTTTCAGTCCAATCACAGGAGTAAAGTTTGAGAAAAATGTCATATTGGTTTTGTGATCATACTATTGAAAAAATGTAATCCTTGCCGTAGACAAACCAGCCAATAACAGATAGTATAAACATGCTTACAGCAAATTTCACTCCTTTGGTCACAGATGAAACATTGTTTACAAAAAATCCAGGAGCGTCTTTTGTTTCTTTGTCCTTCTCTGCAGTGACGGGGTTTTTCTTCCAGGTACTGAGGCGGAGCTTTTCCAACACACGGATCTAAAAAAAAACAAAACAACAACATTACATTACAGGTGTTTCTCCTTATCCAGATACAGACTGAATTTTAAAGCCAGGTGTAACTGGGGTAAAAGGGTCAGAGGTCAGGCGGGTACCTCGTCCTGGAGAGAGCTGTTCTCCTGGCTGAGGGAGTCCATCTGCTGCCGCAGCCGGCTGTGTGTGGACGTCCAGCGATTCTCCTTCCTCCTCAGCTCCTCCTGCAGGGAGTTCAGCTGCTGCTTCAACGCCTGGTGGGGGTGGGGACAGATTAAAGGGGGGGGTTCCACCTATTTTAAGATTTCACACATAGTAAAACACATAATTTCTTCTTTCTTTTTATGTGACCATTTTCTTTCATTGGTTTTGAAACAGGACATGTAATTACACATGTACAATAAAAAACAACATATTTTCTCATCTTTCCAGGTCCAACATTAGTATTTATTTGAAGTCATATTATTGGGAATGTGCATGTAAAGAACCAACTATCCTGGGACCGCAAAGTGAACTGCTGATTCACGAGTGTTCTCTCTCTCTCTGTCACCTGGATTTCCTCTCGTTCCTTCTTGTCAGGAATGGCTCTGGCGGCCGACGCGTGCTTCTCAAACAGTTTGCGCTCCTTCTGCAGTTTCTTGTTTTCCTCTTTCTTGTACTCCTCGAACTTGGCCAGCTCCTCTGCTTTCGTCTGTTCAAACTCCAAACGCTCTTTCCTACAAAAACAAGAACAAACGAGACATTAATCTCTCTGTGCGAGGAGAGAGAAACCCACAATTCATCAAAATGTTCCCACTCGAAATAGAACATGGTGATAGAAAACATGGAGCTGAACGTACATTTGAAGAGTTTGCTCTCAAAGTCATGTTGAGATGTTCATCATTCACTATTTATCATAATAGCTTTGTGCTACCAATTTTTGTATAACACAATTTTATTGTGTAAGCAAACTATTTGACTTTAATCCGTAGGGAATCGCCTCACATAAAATCACCACCATCATACAGCAGGAAATGAAAAATCTAACTCTGATTAAGTTCTTCAGTATCAACAGCTAATTTAAAATGGTATTAAAACAACATTAAGTGCAGACAGATAAAATCACCTGAGGTTTTCCTGGTTTCTCTCGTTCTCCTGTCGGAGTTTGGCGAGGGCGGCGTTCTCCTTCTTAAATCTCTCGATCTCAATCTCCAGCTCAACCAGTCTCTCCCTCAGCTGCCTAGACTGGACCTGCTGGCCTGGGGACGAGGAAACACACACACAGTAAACTCGGGGTTGTGGTCAAACTGCCTCTCTATGTTTGTTTCCTGGAATTGAATCTTTTTGAAATTAAAAATACATGACACAATAAAGTGACAGATATTTTACAGAAGGTATTTGACTTATTGTTGTGGCATTGAGGTCAACAAAACATTACACCACAATGTTACAGAAAGAATAAACATAGAAGTCGGAAGGGCAGAGTTGTTGACATGTTGTGCTGAAACGATAAGCTGATCAACAAAACCTAATCACCAGCTTCTCAATAGAAAGATTTGTAAACTTGGGCCAAATATCAATATCGTTGTCACACACGCACAATTAACAGATTGAACAATAAACCCTTTCATTGAAAAATAATAACAGACACTGATAATGAAAATAAGGATAAGTTGTAACTCTATTGTCATGCATCAGTGCTTATTAAATTCATGTGTGAACAACAATAAAAATGTGTTTTCTTGTTTTCTTGAGTGTAAAGTGAGAATCAAAATACTGTTACACGTTATAATAAAACATTCACCTGTCTCCTCCTCTGGTTTTTTGGGCTCAGGACCAACAGAAGCTGTAGGAGGAGGGAGAGGTGTATTCTGGGCCTTTGGCTTGAGCGAGGGGAACAACCTTGTCATAAGCTGAGAGGCAGGAGGAGGATCTGGCTCCAGATTGGCTGAACCAGTGACTGTGCCTTTATCCAGCTCCACAACTTTGCTCACCGCCACCTTCCTCAACAAAGGCCGCTCCGGCGGTGAGACGCGATTGGCTGTTGCCTTGGAAACTGGACTGACTCCTCTAATGTCACCGTGTGGGTCGACTGTAGTTTCCTCCAGGTCGTTCCACGTGTCATCGTCGTCAAACACAACTCTCCTCTGCTGGCCAACTTTGTCCTCTATCAGAGTGGACTCATCAGCATTGCTGAGGACGCCGTCGCTCTCACCGTCACCATCTTGTGTCACATCTGAATCTCTACAACTGTCCTCGTCCTGATACGACCGCTTATCGTATGGTGGGTTAGACTGTGCAGGAAAGGTAAAGGTGCAGGGAAACACAGGTGCTTTGACCGCAACTTCCTGGTCTTCAAATTCAGAGCTGCCACAGGATGAAACATCAGAGTGCTTGTCTTCTCTCCCACTGTCCTGTCCCTCTTCGTCCTCGATGTTCACTTTGTTCTTCATTGCATCATCTCTTCTCTTCGCCACAAATGCTTCTGCGTTCACAGAGCTGTTTTTACATGTCAAACCACCACTGCTGCACCTCTGAAGTGCACCTCTGGGAGGCGACTTGATGGGGGTGGAGGAGAGCCGTCGCTGGTGGAGCCCCTGAGCAGCATGCAGCTTCTGGTGCTGCTGGTCCATCTGAAGAACCTGCAAGTACAGAGTTTTTGAAGATACACAGCTTTACAGTCAACAGGTCAAATATAATAGGATGATACAGGGAAAAAAATCCACATAATTAAAACCAACTGACTGCATTAATTCTGGAAGCCTTCTTCACACTACCATTAAGTTTGTTGATAAAAGTGGTTAACAGTCATCAAACAAATTGGGCAGCTGTTGTATTAACTAGGGACTGAAAAAATAACATTTGGCAGGATATTACATTTTGTTACACTTTCTCTACAATGGTCATTGCTGGCTACTGTCAACAACTGACAGTAGAGGGATGACAGGACATGGGGCGAGAGAGAGATGGGGGAATGACGTGCAGCAAATATCTCAAACTGGGGACTCACAATAACTTCTATTCGTCAAGGGTGACCTAGTGTGGCGGTTTCTTAAAACTGCAATAACGGGTGTTTGACCACTTGGGGGTAGCGTTAACGAGCTGAAAACACAATTGATATGGGTGGGGTCTTTAGAGGTTTTTAACTGAAAACAGCTGCAACGGGAGCAGTGAGAATGAATCACAACAGTAATGTTTGGAGACCATGTGATGTGATCCACCGTCATCATAAAAATATGGATTATAGCCACTTCAAGAGTATTGCCTACTATTATACTACTACTACTAACATCTGGTATCCAGGACATTTCATGCAAACAGACACAGAATGTTGCATCATAAGCATCAATAAGCAGGAACTCAGATAATAAGACAAAACATCCCTGAACACAACACAACACAACACAACACAACACAACACAACACAACACAACACAACACAACACAACACAACACAACACAACACAACACCAACACAACACAACACAACACAACACACACAACACAACACAACACAACACAACACTAGAGAGTTGAATAAAGCACCTTCATGACAAAGGAGGAGTTGGACGAGAAGGACAGCTCTTCGGCTGCCTGCTCCAGTAGCTCAAACTCTCCCAGCTCCATGTTTTCCAACTGCAGGTCACACTCCCAGCGCTGAAGCTTCTCCTGGAACGACAACTCAAACGAGTCCGGTGGAACTCCTTCTCCTTCTCCTCCTCCGTCTCCCTCTGACCCTGTTCTTCGTTCTGCTGAATACACTTTTGAACCAAAATTTTTCTCTTTAGCTGCATAATTTTCAGCCTTCTCTGGCCCTCCCAACATGCCCACCTGTTTGGTAACAGGGTTCGGCTGCATGTTGTGATGCTCAGGTTTCCTTGCAGTTTGAGCAGACAGACCCACTGTCCTGTTATTCTGGTCCTTTACTTGACCCAGTTGACACTGTTTGGTTCGTCTCCCCTCTGAGTCAGTTTCAATAGACTCTGATCCTTCTGTATTCTGCCTTTGATGACTACCCAACACCTTCATCCGGGCCATCTTACTTTCAGCTCTGGTGTCCTGAGGTGGCGAATTAAGACCTCTCAATCGGTTCTCCTTGTTAAGTATGGCAGTTTTACGCTGGACAGGAAGCCGCTGGATGCAATTTGTGCCACCTTTCAGGATGGCTGCAGGCTCTGAGTTGCTGCGGGAGATTACTCTGGCTCGTGGTTGTGGTTTGGAGTCCTTCTTCATCTCCTTTTTTGGTAAAGAGGCTTTGCGATTGTTGGTAAATCTAGAAAGCCCCTCGCCTCGCTTCAGAAAGGCCCTCTTGGGAGGGGCATGTACAGCTTCAGCCCCATCTTGGCTCTGTTAAGGTGAGGAGACAACATGTGAATGTAATGTGAATTTGGTTGCTTGTTGTATTAAAAGACTTTTTTTTAGAAGAAGAATCTCCAAAGGTTTGGATGTCAAAGCTTCCACGGAAGCACCAACATGAAGAAGTAAGGAATGTAAGGAAATCTTTATTATGTTCTCTGACCTTCTGTTGCCGGGCAGACTTCAGCCTCTGCTCCTCCAACCTAAGTTGCTCCTCCAACAACTCCTCAAATGTCTGCTTATGACCTCCAATGCCTGGCTTAATAGGTCTGGCGAGGGGACACACACAAGGCAAAAATATAAGTTTGTCAACAAACAAACAAATAAAAATTGTAAACACAAAGCAACTGGCTTAGTTTATCTCTTTAGATTTACTTTTATAATAGAATATAGTTTGTACCTGTCCTGAGAAGTTGTATCTTCTGTTCTACCATGGCCTTCAGTCAAAGCTGCACCATTACTTGATATTAACGTGTCATCATCGTCTGTGGAGTTCCATGTGTCTGTAGGAAACACATGCTGTTAGAAGGTCATGCCCAAGTGATTTATCATAGATCTGTTAAAATTAAAAATGTAGTATCCAAATGCAAATACAAAAACTGGAACTTCCACTGTCACATTACAGTGAGTTGAAAAAAAAAAAAAAAAAAAAAAAAAAAAAACTTGCTGTCTCACCCTCTTCTTTGTCATCCACCCCCTCATGATTTTGCCCCTTTGTTAGCCGCTCCCATCTCCCTGCCGGTGACAGCTGTTGCCCCTGTCGAGGGCCACAGGTAGAGCCCTGTGGGATCCCAAAGTGGTTTATGGTGGGGCTGTGTGGGGTCTCTCTGTGATGAGAGGCTCCCTGGAGTGGGTTCTCTTCCCATTCTGCTCCTGACAGCTCTAAGCCCTCTGAATGATTAATAATGTACAATACAGTTAATGCAAACAGTGTATGAAGGCAAATATAAACACAAAGAATCTATGACTAAGTGTGGGAACTAGGAAAAATACATACACATCATTCTCCAACCTGCATATTTTATATGTTAAGTGAAACAAATGATCACTTTTGCAGATATTCTTGTCATCGCTCTTTCTCACCTCCTGTGCAGTGCTGGGAATCATTCATCATTCCCAGGAGCCTCTGCTGCTCTTCCTGGAGGCGAAGCAGCTCCTCCAACTGATTGGCCTTTAGCTGCTCCTGCATGTGTTGCTGCCATTTCCTCAACTGCACAAACACACAATATCACAGTATGGAGTGTTTTCATCATGTACATTTCAACATGTACATTTATTGTGGCTGCTCACCACAATCAGCACCTTGTAACTTCAAAAGGTGCTTTATGAATAAATTTACCGTACCTATATTTCCTACCACAACTGAACATACTGATAAATCAACATATTCAAAGTGCTAACTGATTGCACACAGAAAAATACTAATAATAGCAAGTCTGTGAGTGGGAGTGAGAGTGGGAGTGTGCGTGCTGAAGGTGGGAGTATCAAGTACACAGGAAGCAGTGATATAATCAACAGTGAAGTCCACACATCAACAAGTCCTAATGTCAGTAATGAAGTTGCTGTGTTTACTTTCATTTGTTTTGATATGTTGAGATGTTAAAACTGAACTATTGGACTAAACTGAACAAAGCCACTAAAACTAAAAGACCATCTCCCATTTTTTAGATATTATTGTTGGAGATATCTGATTCAGAATTTAAAAAAAAAAAATTCCAGTGTTATTTTGACAACCAGTCAAATATTTGTCCCAGCTCAGGGATAAATATCAAACATAGGAACACCACATTCTGAAATGCAATGATATTCTTACCTCCTCTAGCTTCATCATTAGGGGCAGATCCTGTGATTTGCTTGCCATCTCATCCAAACTGTCCAAATGTCCATCTGAATTTCTGATAGGGACAGAGTCAGGAACATTCACTGGCCTGTCAGTCCCAGCCCTCTCTCCTCCAGCCGGCCGTAAAAATCCATCGACACCGACGCAGCTGCTGTCTGCAGAGGCGGACAGAGGGGCGAAGTCGGAGGCGAAGGAGTCGTCTGGCTCCAGGGGCGGGGATCCCACGGTTGACATGTGCCGCAAGGAACCGGCCAAGTCCGGGGAGGGGTTGAGGATCACCCCGGCTCTGCTGCTACTTGGCATCCACCGGGCCAAGAACTCTGCCTGGGAGTACTGAAGCCCGGCTGGCGATGACATGACTGCGCTGTCTCAGGCAGAGCTCGCTAATCCGGGATTTGAACGACAGATTATGGTGACAGGTTGAGGGGTTAATCACACCGTGAATAAGCACGCTCTAGGTGATACCCAAATCCAAGAAAACTATATATAGTGACAGGTTTAAGTTGAAATAACGTTAGCTATTTTAATAAGAATCTGGCTTCGGCCAATTAAACGTTGACACTACACAGCAGCACGTCACGGCAGCAGAGTGTCGGTTTTAAACGAGTGTTTGGTTAGTAACAGCAAACTAAATCACAGCTGTTTGTGAAAACTAAACGGCTGAATCATTGACAGATTGACAACATTGATGACATATATCTTACAATTCAGATCATAGTTTGATGGCATTCTTAGTCAGTTTTAGCTGGTTTATTTCCGATGCATTTAAAAGGCTCGGCTTCCTTGGTGATACTTGAATATCGTTAGCAGTATGCGTTTTACTTGAGACACAAAAGTTTTTTTTAAAGGTGTTAAACTGTAGTGACAATCAAAAAAATTCACAAAATAAATAAAAGTGTCGAAACACACTGAATTTACCTGTAACGCAGCAGAAAAGTGGTGTTACTGAGGTAGAACTCTGCGTTGTACGAGCATAACAGACAAAAATTTCGAAGCCTGCCGCCATATCAAAACAAAGCCCGCGAGAGTAGATGAATGACAACAAATCTGTTGTTGCATTATGGGTAATGTAGTCCAACCATCTTTCTTTCAAACGTCAGGTTCTCTGGTTTTATTTAAATTTGTCTTTTTGTTTCATATACACCACAGTAGCTAAATTATGTATCAACTACACGTTTTTGAAAAATAAAATTGGTACTTTAATCGAATTAAATTTTGGAAAAAAAAAACTAGTATCGAATTATATCCGGTTCAACGATGTGTCTGTAAAATATTTCACAATAAATGTCATCGAGCGAATACAATCTAGCGTACCGTTGAGTATTCATTTTGCATACTGATATTTTTAAGTATGTATGCATGTATTGATTTATCTACGCTATATTACTATATATGCTATTATATGTTTACTCTTATTGCAATTTTAATAAGCTAATTTCGACGTTAACTTTTATACTGATATTTATGCACCGGATGTGCTTTCTGACTGATGTGATTGGTTGATACGAAAATATTGAGTTTCACATTTTAGCAATTGAAACTGAGCTGGAACTGTCCGTAAAATGGAAAAGGTTCTATGTAATGTCCACGGTAAGTTACAGTAATTTAATGGTAGTTATTAGTTTTGTTTGAAAAGTCGACATTGTGTTTAGTTTCCGGAAGGCCTGGTTGTGTTTTATTCCCTGAAACGCTGCCTGTAATCTCCATGACAATGCAGTTTCATTTTCTTCTGTCTTAATTGAACCTTATTTTTCCCTGGCTAACCTGCACTGCGTAGAAAGTTTAAACGATTTGCTCAATAACTCGTTCTCTGTGTCCCCAAACAGACAGTGTGTGTATGTTAAAAACGGGCGTGAAAGATGGACCAAATAAAGGCAAAAGCTTCTACGTATGCGTTGACAAGGAAGGCTGTGATTTCAGTCAGACGGCCAGGTAAATACATCAACGAGATATTTCCTCATTGATCCCCTGCGTCCAACACTGTGAGATGAATTCAGAGAGGATGTGAAAGGCAAGAGTTGTATCTAATACCCACCACAGCATTGAAATGGACTATAAATCTTTATTATTGTGAAAAATCTACAGATTCCTTCATAAATTTGACTTGGGGATAGTGTAGTCCAACCAATAAGGGTCCATAAGTCTTGTCCCTTAATGCATGACACCACTCTCCTATACCTAAACATCTGAGACACCTGATGTAGATTGTCACTATCCTGTGTTTTGCTCACAGAATCAAATCCAAAGTCTTATCTCTCAAGCACACACTGATATTCATAACTGCTGGGTCTGTGCATTTCGACTGTCAAACAACTAGCAGTTATGTAATGGCATAATAATTAAAATTTGGGGAAATTTTGGATTCTATCGTCCATTTTTTTCACAGATTCATGTTTCTGTTTTCGATCTGCATTATCATTATCCTCTCCTCCCAGCATCTCACCATCCCACTGCCTCCATCATGAAGATTCGATGGTGGAACTCCAAGCTCTCACCTACAGTCAACAACAGCAGAGCCACAAGTGGGTGTGCAGGTGTTTTATGGTTCAAAACAGGAAGAGTGTTCCTTAAACTTAGTGATTAAAATTCATTCCCGTTGCAGCTTTACATTAGGTTGTCTGACCAGAATACATTGATTCTTATATGTGGCTGTTTTCAGTAATATACTTCTGTTAACTGTTAATCTTTTTTCAGTTTTTTCAGTTTTTCTGTTTTTTTTCAGGTTATTCTACCGGTGTATTATAGGTAAAAAAGCAGGCCAGAGGTGGTGTGGAAACGTGCCTTGGACTGCAGTAAGACAGCACCTGTTACAGATTTCACCATACACATTCTTATTTATATGCTGTAGCTTAAATACCTTTGTCGCCAACAGTATCTGGGACTCATAAGCTATAGACACTTTTATCTCTTCAACCCTGACACCACCAGATGTTTTATCATTGCACACTCATGTTGTGGAAAGGAGCATAAATCAGGTCAAAATAACTTTATGATAAATACTTAATTAAAACTTAATTAAAGATCTGAAGGTTTCCAAAGAGATCAAATATGGCAGTTGGCAAATTTTGTGAAATTCCATTTGGTGTGTCCCCATTTTGGACTGCCTGTTCTCTGCTGTCCTAGTAAATGCATAAAATGCCTAAATAGATCTGAAAAACACTGAAACACAAATATAAAATATTTCTAACTAACTATATTTCTAATAGTTCTAAGTTTACTTACCTAAATTTAAGTAGTTTCTTAATTTTTGCATCTTCTTTCTTTTTTTTTTTTTATCACTTTCTGTTTTTAAAATGTCTGTTGTCTTCCATCATTGCAGCCAGACAAAGAAAAGAGAAACCCTCTAGCTGACGCAAAGCTACAGCCCTCCTGCCTGCCGCCTGTCCGAAACCCCTTTAAGGCCCCGGGCAAACCGGACAAGGACTCTGAGTGGAGAAAGATGCAGTGTGGTGCAGGCAATGAGAAGGGAAGAGAGAAGAAAGACAGTGACAAGGCTGAAGGAAGAGAAAGTTATCAGAAAGAAAATGTGGAGGGCGTTGGGGCAGGAGTGGAAGACGGTGAGGAAGAGAATTCATCGGATACTTACAGAGGTAAACAACTTCCACAAGGGATGAAGTTGAAGAAGAGAGTTTCAGATGAAGAGAGAAACAGCCCCAAAGCTAACAGTGTGGAAAAAATGACAGACAAGACCGAAGATAACCGCTCTGAGCAGGGCAAAACAGGCAAAGCTATTTCTACCTCCACTATCAATGCTGCTCGTTCTGAGAAAATGAATCAAACCTCTCAGGATTCTCACAAGGCCTCGCCCAAGCAACCTAATGCTGGAGAAGCCTGTCTGGTGAAACAAGCTGAACCTAAAGGGAGTGCCTCTAAATCTGCACCCAGCAGCAGCTGCACCCCGGCTCCCACAGACTCTGTCAACACCGGGAGTCCAACACGTAACAAACCGACTCAGTCAGAGTCCGGTCAAACCCAAAACCACCAAGACAACGACGATGATTTAGTGTTGGTGTCAGTGAAACCTGCTAGTCAAAAAACTCCCCCTGTTTCGGCTGTACAAAAAACCCTGACCACCTTCCCAGGATTTCAGCCAGCTTCTAAGGTCAAAGGTCAACAGCAAGATCCCAAAGGGCTGCACAGTCTGCTCACTGCTCAGCTTCAACAGAAAAAGGTGAGTGAAGGACTAACTGAGAAAGAAATTATTGGCCGTTTGGCTCGATTTTGAAAACTATTCATGTCATATATGAGCAGCTCTATGGTCCAGATTACACCTGGGCAAATACTGTATTTCTAACATATACTGTATATATATATATATATATATAATATTACCAATATTATAAAGAATTCTGATCCAAATACATTCAATATACACCTCACACACATCTTCAGCATTTTTTTCAATGTAATTTCTTGCACTTTCCTGTGACTCTAGTCAAACAATGGCATGTCATTCGATCAGTTAATTTTTCTGTAATTTAGAAAAAAGCATGTGGAAGACACAGCAGATTTTATCTACATTATATCATCATTGCTGGCATGTCAATATATAGTACTTCATGATGTATTGCCTAAAATGTAGCAAGAAATACTGATTTACTATTAAGACAACTTCAAACTTGAATCTTTGACTTTCAAATGAATGAGACAGAGGTTCTCCTTTGATATCATCTGTGTATCCCTTTTTGCCAGTCTGTTTATCCTCCTACCCCTTTTTCCTCCTGATCAGGCCACTCTGTCTGTGGTGAATGTGGCGGCTCTGCCAGATAAAGGGGAGAGGTTGAAGACTCAGGTCAAGGAGCTGGAGGAAGCGCTGGAGTCCCTGAGCCTCACTGCTGCTTCTCAGCCAGGTAACTCTCCCGCTGTACAGCAGCAATAATAACATAGTTTACATTAAAGTGTGTGTCTTCTGGCTTTGCAACTGTAATATATGCAAATCCCTTTCCCAGGCTCCCAGGGTGACAGCAGTGATGCTGCTCCAAGTAGCAGTCAGGTCAATCCATTCAGCCGACAAGGCGGCACCATCCTGCTCCCTGCCCCTCCGGCCCCGAGCCCCTATCAGCACCAGGCCTCCGGCAGCTCCCTGGGGCTCCAGCTGAGCCAGGGGTACAGCCAGATGTATGGAGGTAGGCTGAACATTGTTAGTTCTGTCACACTACCTGGTTTTAAACACATTTCTGTAATACTTTGGGATTTTTCTCTTTCACTACTTTTATCATTTGTGCAAATACCCTAATCCTCAGTCCTTCATGTTTCCAGCAAACCCACAGGCTCAGGCCTTTTACGGTGGCAGGATGACCGATGACCGTCTGCTGGCAGTGAAAAACGCCACCTGCGAGGCCATCGACCATCTCCACAAATCCCTGGAGTCTTGCCCCGATGCTGAGGCCGAAGCCCCAGACCCCAGAGGCATCAAGGTATCACTGTCCTTCAGTCACTAGTCGGGGTTGTCATCAGTGCTTCACACAGGATATCTGACAACACTAATTAGATTTCGAAGAAACGTCAGGGAGTGATGCATCACTGCTTTTAGTATGTGGCTGTTCCGTGCTTCCAATATTGTGGCCAGACCCATAAAGAAATGAGTTTTAGGTCAGACCAGGCCTGATCTCCCAGCATCACATTAATGCAGCTATAGTGCTTTTGAGTAACATGTTCGGCAATCATACATTGTTTATAATTTCTGGGTGTCCACATACTTTTGGCCATAGTGTATTTGCTGTTTTGAAAAGAAATTCTCATGACAAGTGGCCATGGAAAGGGAGGATCTATATCGTCTTTTGACTGGTCCCATCATGTTACTCTAACAACACTGTCCTCTTGTGATTGGCTGGTCAGGTGTCGCTCCTGCCCCATCAGAGGAGAGCTTTGGCCTGGCTGCTCTGGAGAGAAGCCCAGAATCCATGTGGAGGAATTCTGGGTATGTTGACCATTTTATGTGATTTTTTATTAAAGAGATCATGATGAAGAGTTTGGTACAGAGATGGAATAATACTTCAAATTAACATTATTTGTTCCTTTTCCGACAAACCAAGTGCCATGTACCTCCAGTGACCAGAGAAACCGTTTACAGGGTATCGGAGAAGCTTCACATAATTGTTATCTCTTCCTTTCTTCCCTTTGTTCTTCTCACTCTCACTCTTTTTTTGGGATTAGCGGATGACATGGGTCTGGGTAAAACTCTGACCATGATTTCTCTCATACTGGCCAAGAACATCAAGGCGAAAGAGGAAGATGAAAAGAAGGAAGAGAAGAAACTGGAGAAATGGATCTCCAAAACTGGTATTTAGAACCTTTTATCACTCTGTCGGTTGGTAGGAACCTCAGTGCTGTCCATGCAATTAGTATTTAATTAAATTACACCTTTTTTTTTTTTTGTTCATCATTTAGACTCCGGCATTGTGGTTTCTAAAGGCACTCTGATCATCTGTCCCGCCTCCCTGATTCACCACTGGAAGAAGGAGATCGAGAGACATGTCAAGACAGGCAAGCTGACTGTGTATCTGTACCACGGCCCCAACCGAGAGAAAAGTGCCAAAGTGTGAGGGAACCATGCACACATTCACACAGTCACACAGTCACACAGTCACACAGTCACACAATCACACAATCACACATTCACACAATCATACAATCACACAATCACACATTCACACAATCACACATTCACACAGTCACACAATCACACATTCACACAATCACACAATCACACAATCACACATTCACACAATCACACAATCGCACAATCGCACATTCACACAATCGCACATTCGCACATTCGCACAATCGCACAATCGCACAATCACACATTCGCACAATCACACAATCACACATTCGCACAATCCCACAATCGCACAATCACACATTCACACAATCACACAATCACAATCACACAATCACACAATCACACATTCGCACAATCGCACATTCACACAATCACACATTCACACAATCACATTCACACAATCACACATTCGCACAATCGCACAATCACACAATCGCACAATCGCACATTCACACAATCGCACAATCGCACAATCACACATTCACACAATCGCACAATCGCACAATCGCACAATCGCACAATCACACAATCACACATTCACACAATCGCACAATCGCACAATCACACAATCACACATTCACACTTTCACACATTCACACATTCACAAGTCAAAAGGGAAGTCAAATGTTGATGTTGAACTAGTACTGAGTCATCTGTGCGTTTCATCATCTCAGACTCTTAGACATCAACATGGACCAGACGATTGGCCTTTTAAGGAGAATGGCTTCATTTAATGTTACGTCTTTGCCCTCAATTAAATTTTCTTGTTATATTGATAATAATGACAACGTTATTATTATTAATAATAATAATGATAACAATGATAATAATAAACTTTATTTACGTAGCACTTTTCATACACAGGAAAACAGGGAAATCATTAAAAAAACGGGGAGAACATTTAAGACAAAAATAAATTGTTGCATCAAGAACACCGAGAGGCTTTTGCTCGGTGACCTTTTGAAGCGCACACAATCAAACAGAGTTAAATGTTCTCTGTCCGTCCTCTCAAGGCTGGCAGATTATGACGTGGTGGTGACCACATACAGTCTGGTCTCTAAGGAGATTCCAGTCCAGAAGGAGGAGGGCCGACAAACCCGCCAAGGATTCTGATGATGTGAGTAATATTTATATTTATGACATAAAGCCACAGCCACAGTGGCAGCTTTAATGCGGTGACTTAAGATTCTTCCTGTAAAACATGAATACACCCAGAGTTGAACTGAAGGCGCTGGCAGCTGATACTTGAGTCCATCATGTTCCGTTTTGGTGCTGATAATAATAAAATCAAAACTCAGACACACGTGCACTCATCCCTCGTCATTTTCCCTCAGCCATCGCCCTCAGCTCCTCTGTTGCGAGTGGCCTGGGCCCGCGTGGTTCTTTTGATGAAGCCCACAACATCAAAAACCCAAAAGTGCAGACCTCCATGGCCGTCTGTCAGCTGAGGGCTCGCGCTCGCTGGGCGGTCACTGGTACGCCCATCCAGAACAACCTGCTGGACATGTACTCACTGCTCAAGTAAGACAACACCACAGTGAATACAAGAGTTTTACAAGTCTAAGTAGAAATGCTTTCTCTGTTTTGTCTGCAAATTTTTATTTACCTTTTAAAGTATGTTAAGAAAGATTAAGTTTTTATGACCGTGTAATTTGTATAGAAAATTTCTTTCATATAAAATGCACTGCACATCTCAGTCAAATTTAAACATAAAACATAATAGAGTAAAATAAACATTCAAACAGGTTAAATAATAATTGTTAATATAATTGATTCTATAATATTCAGGTGGAAATTAGCAAAGCTTAAACTGAAAGAATTCATCTTCACCTTGAATCAAGAATTTTTTTTTTTCTCACACTGCAGGAGTTATGAAAGTGCTTTGAGAAAAAGGCCACAAGGTGGCGCTATAGATTACTTTCCAAATGCTATTGAACTCTATTAAATACTTTTTGAGAGAGCCTCTGAAATGTCAGACAAACAAATGGGAGCAAAACCAGCTGTTTGGTGGCAGAAACAAAATCTAAGTTGGAGAAAAGAGGCTGAACTTTAGTAATATTATGTATTAACCAGCACCCATGAACAGTCCTTAGACCATTGAGTTCATATCTCTCATGTTGCACAAAGAAACATTGATGAGTGATGATGCTTTGCCCTGATAATGTACTGAAGTAATTATTGAAACTACTGAAACATAATTGTGTCTTAACTGCAGTCAACTGACGTCAAGATGGTTTAATTGAAATGAGACGGTTCATTCACGGTGTGTCTCTCAGGTTTCTGCGTTGTTCTCCGTTTGACGAGTACAAACTGTGGAAAGCTCAGGTGGACAACGGCTCGAAGAGAGGCAGAGAGAGGCTGAACATCCTGACCAGGACTCTGCTGCTCCGACGAACCAAGAGACCAAATGGACTCGTCGGGAAAACCACTGGTAGAGACGCACACTCGCACACATTGGGTGACAATTGTCTTTTACGAGTGTCTGCTTGCCATGACACACCAGACACTCTCTGCGCTCTTGATCCAGGCAGCTGAAGTGAAGTGTCAAATGTTTCAGGTGTCTCTTCCTGTTCGGACCTGCAAGGTGCATCGACTCAAACTGTCTGAGGACGAGCAGGCTGTGTATGATGTGGTCTTTGCCCAATCCAGGTAACCAACAACTCGTCTTATTGTTTTGATTTAACACAAGATTTCTCCTTTATCCTTCCCTAGTCTTTTTCATTGTATTTACTGTTTCATTTTTTGGCTCCTCGTGATGTTTCCCATGAAGGGCATGGAAAAGTGGCTAGGAATAAAGTAAGGACATGTGACTTCACTGTTGGAGAAGTGACCTTGGCTTCTCTTGGCCAGCTGGCTACATCTGGACAGGAAAATAATTTCATGCTTTCAGCTACCTCTGACTTCAATTAAGGATGCTCAATACTCTCCAAGGTCTAAATGTGTGTAACTGTACTTAAAAAAAAAAAA